TTGTTTCTCATTTTAGAGTAGAGTGGTTTTCGTTTGAGTGTCGTAAAACCAAAACCAAAGTAATTACTCTGGCCAATCACATAGGACACAGACAATACATTGAACCAATCAAAACTCGAAGTAATTACATGTGGCTGACGCAAAGCGCGGGAAAATGCATGCGAGCGCGTCACAATTGGCTTTGGTTTTACTTCTGATTGGATGAAAAGGTGGCGCGAATCTTTTAAGCCAATCGCATCGTGTAGAAAGTGCAAAACCAATTACTTTTCGACACTCAAATGAAAACCGCTCTATAAGGGTAAGCGCAGCTGTTTAGCCGAACTTAGAACTCCTGTCAGGGAGCTGCAAAGACGTTTTTGAGCGACACACATCAACCGGAAGTGAGGCCTTCTCACTATGTATATGCCTTGATGCTAACAAATTTGTATTGCTAAGTTTCTTTTCTCTTATAAAGACAATTTACTCGAGAGTTTGATCCAAACCGCTGCCCTGTGATGCAAAATGTCCACTTCCGGTTGACGCCCGTCGCTGACAAAGCTGACGCTGAGGCTTTTCCCGTCGCACGGAACAGCACTATTTAGTTCCTGGCCGGATCATTATGAGTGCTAATTTCTTGTCCGAGTCAGCTGTCTCTGTTTGCAGCTCAGTGTACGTTAACAGCTCTTGGACGTTACCACTTCTCTTCTGCTCATAGCGCCTGCGCAGTACTACGGCTAAGTATATGAAGCAGAATACAGATAGTGGCACCAAAACGAGGGCAGCAATGAGGCCTGCTGGGAAGGACGTTGGTCTGACTGTGTGCAGACGCTTTCCTGGAAAGAGAAATAGAAACATTTTTTCATTTCATCAAGATAGCTCAGAAATAATGGACCTCTTCACTATCTCTAGTCTATTTAGAGATGGCACCTTATTTCCTCGCCCCTCTACCACGTGGAGAGGCGACACGCATGTGGCGATTCTCGCGCGCGCTCGCGTATTTTACTTGATTCCACTGACCCTGAGGAAACTTAGGGACTACGCGTGGTTTTTTCAATGGACTCCTGGCAAAACAACAAACTAAAAAGGAAAACAAAAACGGTGAAAGTAAGACAGAAAAACCGACAGACGCCAGTATTTTAGCAGTCATTCAGCCTAGTCCCTAGGAGTTCTCGGCTCGGTCAATCCTGTACTCTACCGTGAGCTGTGACGTCACCGAGTCTAGCCCGCTCAGTTCCCAGAATTCACGCGGACAACGGGGCAAGAGAGAACGCCTGGAGACTAGGCTGGCAGTCATTATAAGTACAGCGAATATTAGTAAGGACTAAAAGTACACTGAGATTTGAAGAGAGGCGCACGAACCTTTATCCCAATGCCTCGCACTAGGCCACCTCGTCAACTCACAGAAACCGCTGGTCGTGTCACCTTGAGCAGACTCAGCACAATAGCTGCTTACTTCAATGAAGTTGAAAGCCTCCGGGCAGTCGTCAAATAGCAACGAGCATCTGTGTTTACACAATGTTTTTATCTTAGTCCCATCGCACGGCGGTGTATACGATGCACACGCCAGTTTGTTTAAAGTCTCTTTACAGGAGTCGCTAAACACGCTGCTGGTCAGTTTGTTAATTAGTATCGCCAGTTTGTCTTGGAGTTGCTTTTGCGTTTTCCTTGAAATAAATGTCATTTTACGTTCTTTTTTCTGACAATTATCATTTGACACCGTTTCGCTGCATTGAAGGCCTGTTAAGTAATAACGAAACCGACAACATCAATATCAAATCATAACTCAACAAAACTGAGTACCTCTCAAACAAAGTCTTTGAAATTCGAAATTTCTTCCTTGGGCAGTCGGTGTGACTAATAAACGGAGCTGGGGGCATGTTTCTCAAAAAACCAGGTGATTTTTCGATCCCTGAAAGCTGTTTTGTGTTTGCCGTGTTTGCGTGCATTCAAGATCAAAGTTTCAGTAATTTTGAAAATGATACAATGAAACTGTCAGTTAACTAAGCAAAATTGACTGGTTTGTGAGCTAGGAACAGCGCAACTATTCAATAGCTGTTGAATAATAAAATAGAATTCTTCCGATCAATTTTACTGTCTATTTACTTCAATTTGCGGATTATCACGGGCTTAATTTCGAACACCTTTACGGTCACCTGTTCTTTTCCGTAGAGTGACCGTCTCTACTTGATACATAATTAAGTAACATACATACGTACTTGAAAGAGGCTTCTTCAGAGGTTTAAAATCCGGTGGTATAAAACAAGTAGCACTTTTCCTCTTTGTAGGTAGCAAGCTACACAGAGGCTTTAACCAATTTAAGCCATTGGAATTCATTTGATTGCAGCATCCGCGAGCAAACTCCTCGCACACCTCACGGCATGGAAGCAAAGGACCAGGCATGTTTTCTTTACATCGTGGTACGTAGAGTGAGCAGAGGATATAGCTGGTGTATTTTGAACAACCGTTGAGCTTCGCTGTCATGTTGTTGATGATCTTTGAATAAGTCTCGGTGTAGAAGTTACTTGCGAGATGTTTGCTTGTCATTTTGAAGCCATGAGTTACGCAGTTTGGGAACTTGTTTTCATCTATTTCGCGACATTCCGATGTGCTCTCAGATCTTGCCAGTTTTGCGACTAAAAGCACATTTGCTAATTGTAGCAAAAAGTTCAAATTCATTTTCTCTTCAGCCCTCAAAGCCTGTTTATCCAAAGGATGTAAAAATGTCCCAGTTTAGTACTAGCCAAGACTGGAATTTTTTTTTTTTCTTAGTAACTGCCCATTAAATTTCGAAACAAAGTAAATAAACTTAACAATACAACATTGTTCAGTTCATTGTTATGACAATGCAGAAATGATAATTGAAGGCAATATTGAAGGAAAATAATTAGAAAAAAGAAACGTTTTCAAACGTTTCTTTAAAGTGGAAACGGATTCGGAGTATTTCACATCACTAGTATAAACTGTCCAGATAATCGGTGCATAATATGAAAATGAGCGGCGTCCATACGTAACGGTATTAACAGATGGAACTTAAAAAAATGTAGATGAGCGGAGTAAACAAACAGGTTGATATTTGAAGCTATTTGACAAGGAGTGAAGAAAAATAGTAAGGAGCTAAATCATGCAAAATTTTAACAAATTTCAATAGCGTGAAATGTTTTTCTTCAAATGTCAATAGAAATAATAGAGGTCTCTGTGTGAGCTCCGTTATGGGCAACTGTGGAAAATAGAAAAATGACAAGTGGTCAGGGAGGCAATATAAATAAACGCATAATATAATGCTTCCTAATTTACTTTATGTTTACTTTAATGATGGCGAGGTTAATAAAGTACGATAAAATAACTTAAATAAATGAACTTGGTTAATTTTAGCAAAAGACCGAACCAATTCAATGGAAAGTTCGATCACGGTCTATTATTTTTATAAAATAACTTATGGTGAAAATAACTTTTTCCAGTTTTCTAAAAGTTTGCCTGTGGAAAGAGGAAACTAAACAAAAACAACAAAACAAAACAAAAAATATGAACAATGGCCGTTTTCATACTACAATCCATCTCCAAAATCCGTCAAAATTGACGGAAAAACAGATGGATAAAGTCAGGCGGATTGTCCATCCAAAATTAAGACCATTCCATTTTCAAATTAATTAAGACGTATTATCTGTCTGACGCGAATTATCCAACGGCCTGAACGAGTCTCAGACGGATAATCCGTCTCTAGTGTGAATACGGCCATAATCATGACTTTGATAGTGTCCTAAAAAAATTGACTCCACAAAAATTCGCCTACAATAGACATCTTGCAAAAGGCAAAAATAGACGCGATAAAGTTTGAAAGAGAGCAAATTCAGTTTTTTGGTTTTTCGTTGTCTTCATCATTTGTCGAGGGACTGTGTCACGGCTGTCTAGTTAATTAAGTTTGCTAATATTAACCCTTTAAGCCCTAAGAGTGATCAGCATCGAATTTCTCCTCGTTATATCAATGCTTTGTAAAACAGAGTGGCCATGAGAATTACGGACATGATCACACAAGATGAATTTGCTTGATATTTTCTCCACTTCTCCGCACTACTTCTGTAGGAAATGATTGGGGGCAACAAATGAGAATTCAAATTTTGATCTTAGGGTTCAAAGGGTTAAACGTCCTTAATGGGAATAGCGACGAAATTACCGGCAAACTTACAAAATCACAGCTTAATGTCAAACTGAATATGTCTCCCAAGCATTAAATCAAACGTTGCATACAACAAAAATAAATGACATGAAAGATATTAATCATCGTGGATAATGTGTATAAAAGGTTTAGTTTATCGTTTGTCTCGCGATTGTCACTTTGATATTGATCACGACGTTTCGACCGCACACTGCAGGTCGAAACTATCGCCTGCTGAAGACCTGCAATGTGCGGTCGAAACGTCGCGATCAACATGAAAGTGACAATCGTGAGACAAACGCTAAACTAAACCCTTTATAAACAAAAATAAACTTTGAAAAACTACTGTTAGGCTAACAAGTTTACCAATAACCACAATTCTCAATGCGTTTTTATCCTCTCAAGTTTGTCCATCCGAGCTAGCCTCCTATTCGTTGTGTTATTTATACCTTCGTTTAAAGCTTTCAGCTGTTATTTTCAGTGCCGGATCCATCCTCGGAGACCCAGGGGCAGTTAGTCGGGTCGATTAAATGTTCGTGGTGAAAGTTTACTGTAAGATCGAGAGTAAACTTTCACCACGAACATTTTATCGACCCGACTAACTGCCCCTGGGTCTCCGAGGATATGCCGGATCCAGATCTTGAGATAATGGGAAGGGGGGGGGAGGGGCCGTCATCGAGACCCTGAGATAAGGGGGGTGAGGGCCCCTCCCCTGTATCCGCCACTGATTTTTATGTTTCACTCAGTTAGGTGTCAGCTCCCACTGTTTGAAATTTGAGGAAGTTTCGTGACACATCTCCGCGCAGCTCCTTTAAGCTTTCTAACAACAGCTAACAACTATAACAGGAAATCATTTGCTCCCAAGTTTTTACATTGGTAGATTATTGATATCATGCTCCCCAGTCCCAATCTGTGGTTCAGTGTACGTTGAACGTTGTTGGGTATATCCACTCTTCTTCTGCTCATAGCGCCTGCGCAATATCACGGCGACGTAGATAAAGCAGATTGCACACAATGGCACCAAAACGAGGGCAGCAATGAGGCCTGCTGGGAAGGAAGAAGGTAATTTCTTTGGACGCTCCCCTGAAAAGTAAAATCAAGAAGCCTCAGAATGTCAGCAGAAGGTGTGAATGCACAGAGGAACCCACACGTTTATTTTTAAAACTTTCAAACTTAGGATAACATCAGAAGGAGTTTTTCCGTTGTTAAAGGGGCAATTACAAGAATATTAGCAGGTTTTGGATTATCTTCAGCCAATCACATGCCCACAGTCGTCCTTTGGCTTTTTGGCGAAAATAAACTGCCAGAGGACTCAGGGTACGAGAGACCGGTACAAGATTGATCTTATGCTAAAATTGTTAAAGAATACGCTCGCTGATGCTTAAAAATGACATTTGTACCAAAAGACAATGGCTTGCATAGGTCTTTATATATGTTGTGGTTCAATTTTGTCCTTGGTTTAAATTTTATTTTACTTTGTCTTTGAGTTAGATAATGTATGATAACGAGTTTAAAACAAAGGAAAATGAAATTTAAAACAAGGATAAAGTTGAACCACAACATGTACAACCTACTCCTGAGAACACATAGAGTGAGCTCCCAGGGGCGGATCCAGGATTTTTTTTAGGATGGGGTGCACTCGTCTCTTGCTCTACTTCAACACCAATAAACCACATAGTTTTTTTTGGCAGAATACCAGTTGTATTAGAAAACCGCAGGTCATCTCAGGAGAGGGGGGGGGGGTGCGCACCCCCTGCACCCTCCCCCTAGATCCGCCCCTGGCTCCTATCTCACGAACAGGAAAAAATGTGTCATACCTTTACTCCAATGCCTCGCACTAGGCCATCTCGTTAGCTCACAGAAACCGCTGGTCGCGTTACCTTGAGCAGGCTCAGCACAGTAACTGCTTACCACCTGGCTTACTTCTGTCACGCTAACTTCTGTCAAGTTAAATACCCATGGGCAGTCGTCAAAAAGTTTGCGGCACCGCCAGTTGCACAATGTGAAAAACTTCTTCTCCTTACACGGAGGTGTGTAGGATGCACACGACAGCTTCCTCAGGATCGCCTTACACGTCTCATTTTTAACGCTACTGTTCAGTTTCTCCATGCTTGCGATCAATTTGTTCTGTAACTGCGCCTGTGTCGTCTCTGAGACAAAGGTTTTTTTACAGCCCGCTTGTTGACATTTTTTATTGAAGACTGTTTCGTTGCAAACAAGGCCTGTTATGGCGATAACAGAAAAAAAAAACTTAGTGACAGAAGAAATTACAAAACTAAAAGTGGATTTCTGACGATGAAAAAGATACTAGAGGGTGGAAGTAGGTTGTCAATCTGGTCAGTGCTTTTTCTTCGGGTCTAACACTCTTGTTATCACGAATTCTTCCCTCCCTGCTTCATACTCGCCCCGTCTTCACCCATGGCTACCGACTGCCGACAGACGTGAAAGGACACCCGAAATGATTCCTTCTAACTGACCTCTCCTGTCTATTGTTGCATTTTCGAGATCTCAAATGAAATATGCGTATACAGGTAATCTGTCACTACTCCCCTCCCCCCCCGCCCAAACCTGTCCACGAAAAAAAACTAGCCTTTATACCCAGGCCTCACTTGTTGTCAGTTGTATCAGCGGATGGGTATTAGCTGCACTGTGTAGAACAATTAAGACGGAATCCATCAGGAAATTGAGTAATTTTAATTTTCAGTGGGCAAAATCCTTGTACCAGAATAATTTAAAGAATATTACATTCTTTTTTACATTTTTCAAGGGCTAAAGATGTAATTAGACATCTGTAATAACACCAACGAAAACTTCTCATGGGAGTCCGAGAAAATGAATGTCAAATTTCACAATTAAGAATTTTGAAAACACAGGTAAAATTCTGAAAACTTCATATTTTAGATGTCATTTAATTTGTGAAATTTGACATTCATTTTCTCGGGCTACCATAAGAAATTTTCTTTGGTGTTATTACAGATGACTAATTACATCTTTAAAGCCCTTGAAAAATGAAAAAAAGAATGCAATATGCTTTAAATTATTCTTGTACAAGGTTTTTGTCCACTAAAAATTAAAATTACTCAATTTCCTGGTAGATTCCGTCTTAATTTCCCTATAGGGAAAACAATAAAATTGTTCTTCACAGTGAATAGCTAGGGATTTATCGAGAGTAAACAACTTAACTGTGGCATGAAGCACCAATTTTTTTTTCAGCATCCTGAAAAAAGAGTAGGTCAACGTAGTTCGCCGAATAGGCCTTATCACGGTTCTTGACGAGTAAGCAACCGCGTGAGAAATTACTGACATGTGTTTGTATGGGAATCTAATTGTCGAATAATTTCCGTGAAACGGCTGTTCTGAAAAAAATATGAATCAGGAGAATCGTTAGGAGTGAAGCTTTACTTTAAAATTCATAATTCTTTTTTGAACAACCGTGTTACGGAAATTATACGACATTAGATTCTGATACAAACACTACTGTAATTTCTCACACGGTTGCCTACTCGTCAAGATGGCTTCCAAAACCGTGACGAGGCCTATACTTAAATTTAGCAGTGGCGGATCCAGCGGAGGGGCCCGAGGGCCCCGGCCCTCCCTTATTTTTAGACCAAACTGAGGCCTGAAGGGCCGAAAAATTGTTTTTGAGACCGACCCCCCCTATCTCAGTGTCTGGATGACCCCCCCTCCTTATCTGAAGGTCTGGATCTGCCACTGTTTAGCTAAGGGCTAACTAAGTACAGGGCGCTCAACTATAACATACATTAGGTACTTAAGCAAGCTTACTTGAATCAGGTTTCGCTGATGGTTTAAAATTCGGGGGTTCAAAACAGTCACTATTCGTTCCATTCACGGGTAGCAAATTACACAGAGGCTTTAACCAGTTTAAGCCTTCGGAATTCATTTGATCCGAGCATCCTCGAGAAAACTCTTCGCACACTTCACGGCATGGAAGCCACGGACCAGTCATGCTTTCTTTACATCGTGGTACGTACAGCGAGCAGAGAATATAGCTTGTGTAGTTTGAGCAACCGCCGAGCTTCTCCGTGATATTTTTGATGATTTTTGAATACCTTTCTTCGTAGTATGAGTTGTCCGCGAGATACAAGCTTGTTGAATGGAAGCCAGCTTTAAAGCAGTTCGGAAACTTCTCCGCATTCAATGGACGGCACTTGCGATCGCTCTGAGATCTTGAAAACGGTATGGCTAAGCACATAATCACTGCGTATACAAGAAATTTTACAGTCATCTTTGCTTGTAGTCGAAACCTGTTTTCAAAACCTTTGTCGCTGAAAGAATTTAATCAGCACTGTCTGGGTCAAAATTAATTAAGAATAGTATATAATTTGCGTGTGTTTTAGAACCGCAATGTAGCGTGACAGCGCCCTAGGTCATTGCCGTGACGATCAGAAGGGCATCTGTTCTTGTCATTTCCGTTGGCCTTTGTTTTGTTGTCAGTAGAGGATGACCATTTCACTTTTTAATAAGTGGAGGAGGTGGAAAAATAACTTGACGACAGACATGCAAGAAAAACATTTTTGGCTTACGTTAATAGGGCTATCATTTCTTGTTCACCGGGTTTGAGGGGTTGGGGGGGGGGGAGGGGGCGGTCAACAAAGTTTTATACGGGGAGGCCCCGCCCCGAGGACCAATCTCTTACCCTTTTATATTCCATTTTCCGGCGTTTCCAATCGATGACAATCGATCTCAATCAATACCAATCGATATCAATTAATCGACTGATATTGATAATCGATGACCAGTCGATGGCGAAGACTTGTGTAGTTATCGAATTTCAATAACAATCGATAGATAAATTGATAACGGATGTTATCGATTGATTGCAGATTGTCAGATAAATATCACATCTTTGCACACAGTAATTGCACATGTAACCACATTTCATTTTATTTGCTTGTCCGGATTGTTTGCTACAGTTTAAATAAAGGTTTCACTTAAACAGAAATAATTGCATGTCATTTAGTGGCCAAAAAGGAACCACAAGCTTGGACTGTAGTAGTTTGCTACACAGCCGTTTTGAGGGTCGTCACGCAACGCTCCTCCCCTGTGTAGCAGACTGAGGACTGTAGGTGACCGAACTGTCCACGATGGTAACTTTAAACGCGTTTCCGCGTTCTTCTCTCTTCTTGTTAGCAGTAAACACTTCACCGACGTTCACCTCAAAACGGGACAGATGTTAGCCTTTGACGATGCGCCTAATATTCAGTAAACCCTCCTCCCTGACTTCTTACGTAGACATAGTGATACGGAAAGGCATTGACGGGCAAGTGTGTGGCAAGTGGGCCAGTAATTCGAGTACACGTGCAACGGGGTATATTCTTTGCCTTGAGAAGACTGGGTCGGAATTGTCTCACCAATTTCGTCCACAGCGCTTCCTAAAAATGGCGGATAATCGGACAGGTAGCGTGCGTGACGTCTGTTTGAGGTCGATAGCAATCGATGAACTGTTTTTTAGTGGTTATCGATTGATCATCGATTGATCGATACCAATCGATACCAATTAAGTAGTTTTATCGATTGGTTTTCCGATCATCGATTTCCATCATAGCAGAGCTCTCGCGCACGCAGCGGAGCACCATGGGTAAAAAAATCACGTGACTGTACACCGCCCGCCCGCCCGACCGTCCGTCCGCACCACAGGCATACCAATGTCAAATAATTCAATCAACGGTATGGCAACCTAAATGCAAAGGAAAGAAATCGCATGGCCGCCCGGACTTTTAGAAAGAAAAAACAACAACAAAGTCGTGTCCTTTTCAACGTTATTGTTGATGTTAACACTCACGTGGATAACAGAGAGCGAGTGATTGAAAACAAAAGAGACGAATTTTGTAGGAAGAATAACATGAAAATTCAAACAGTTCAAAGCGGCTGTGAGACAGTGAGAAATGCTAGCGGCCAGCAAAGTGAAAATGTGCGGCAGTGAAAAATAAAAGCGAACATGAACACAGGAGACAAAATATTGGGTAAGCACATACGACAATTGAACAAAGGAAATAGGAGACGTCTGCACGCAGGCAAATACGACAATTCCTCCATAAAAATAATGTGTAACTAGGAAGTTTGACATTTTAGTCCTACAAAACAGCGTTGTAGTTATGCAAAACACCGGCTAAGAAAGACAGAAAGCGTGCTGCACATGCAAATTTGTTTTTTTTTTGCTAATTAGAAAAAAAAGTGTGCTGCACGTGTAATTTGTTTTTTTGCTAATTAGATCTATTTTTCATTGCCCTCCCCGTTTAGCATTACATGATTTAATTTTTTTTTTTACAAGTATTATTTATCAGAGCTTCGCTTTTAGCCCTGGCTAAATCTATGTATTATCGATATATTGGAAACACCAGGCATTTTTGACAAAAAAGTACCCCTTTCGTATACCTCTTAATGACCTCTTTCATATAATAGTTTAGAACGCTGCACCCATTTTAACCACTTTTAATGCACCGTGATGAATAAATCACCACGCCAGAGAGTTTTCTTGTCTCAGTTTCACAGCCATATAAATAATGCGCCTGTTAGCCTTTACAGGTCCTTTCACGGACAGCAATGACAGATTTCTTTGCATGCCCTTTCATATACTTCAGCTAGTGAAACTCCTACCCATTCATATACCTGAAGCCTGACAAAGGTACCCCTTTCGGGCGGAGCACCCCCGTATAGGTCCTTATAGGGACTACCCTCCCTGGACATGTACATTAAAAACAGCTGGGGAAAAATGGATCGCGGAGGTACAGTAGCAGACGTTCAAAAGAATTCTTGCCCGCCAGTATACTGGTTTCCTGTGGCGGCCCAGGCCAATAGTGTTGGGACTTTCCAAGTGACAATAGTAAAACTGGCGACCTACCCCAAACAACGTTGAATAACATATTGCGCAAAATGGGTGGAAATTAGTTTGTTTAGGGTCACAACATCGTCAGGGGGACTTTGGGAAATGAAGGGATGAACCAAAGGGCGATCCAAAACTTCTCGTTAGTAGTAGAGTCGTCCCAAGAACAATTACTTGGAAGAGTCTCTCCACGGTGTCCCAAGTTCTTTTGAACTCTATTGAAGAAGTAATACGATTACCTGCCTAAAAACAAAATCGCCAGCCTCTTCCTCAACAGGGAAAAGAAATAGTGATCGGTCTCTTAGCCTCGAGTTTTGCCTTTGTGCGTCGTATTCTTAATCAGCTTTGAAGCATTTATATATTAATCTGTTTGCCTTATGGTTCTTGAGGCAAAGAATAATTAGTAATTACTGGATGAAGCTGAGCATGATCTGTGGAATTCTTCAGATCTCCACGAAAGCCGAATCCAATAATTGCTTTATTATTCAATCAAAAATGATTTATACTTTAAGCATTGCTTACCTCACTCGAAATTCCTGTTTTTATCTCTCTGTTTGAAGGCAAATTCAGGACATAAAGAAGTGTTTAGTACAGCAGATATTTTTCAAATAGCATTTGTAATACATTGAGTTGTATTTTTGCTGTTGTTTTGCTATGTTTTTTGGTAGAAGGTTGGCGATTTCTTCTTCCAAAAAAGTGTAAAAATGTCAACCTTCTCCAGCTCCACCAAAAACAACTTAGCTAAACCTCGTTCTTAAGGCTTCTCGGTTACCGTCCTTTTTTTAGCGGTACCCTGTTCAATTGACGTCATGTTACTAGATATTGGAAACTTCACCAATATATGCTCAACCTAGTTGGCTTGGTTATGAATTTGAAGCATTAGCCGGGGGAAATGAACCAATCAGAAACGTCGTCAATGTTAAGAAAGCTTTGATCTAAGGCTGACTGCGCTGCTGAGACAACTTTTCTTGCAAAGTGTGTGAAAAAGGTTCCACTAGACGTTATGCACCCCCCATACTGTCCTATATGAGCTTCAACAAGGATGATTACACAAAAAGGCGTTAACGCATATATAATACCTTCCGGGATTTCTAAGAAAGCAAAAACGTTGCTTGTTTCGCTTTATTGACGACACTTCAATTGAACCTGACTTTATATCAGTGCGGCGTAACAAGTCACTAAGGCCACGAAAACTTCCACTGATGATTTGCACCGCGATGTTCCAGTCACATTCTTGTAGTTTTAGGAAGTTCTGAAGAGCCTTAATATTAAGCCTGGCATTGACTAGTATAATCTTCCTGCTAAGTTTGCATTTTTAGCTCAATGTAAGAAACTCATTTCTAGTGTGTAATTTCGCATTTAAAACTAAAGGGCTATTTCTTAGAAAAACCGCAGGTTCGCACATTAAGAAACCACAAACATTTTGATTGGCTAATTACGTGTAAACTAATTTTTCACGTGGCATGGAAAGCCAATAGCAAGTTGTGGCGTGGTATATGAATCTCCCGCTGGTTTAACCCATAACATTGCAGTCATAAGTCATTGGATCAGCCTAATATTCGCTGCTCCTGCTAAACACAGACCACTGTCCTTGTAGAAGTTCTTTGGCCAACCATTATATAACGCTTCATTCCAACGAAGCTAGTCTTTGCAGCCCTTTACTCACGCAGACGGTATGTTTCAACCAAAGCCATTTAGAGAAAATAATGATCTCGTACGGCTTCCAGGCCAAGGTTCGTGGTCACAATGGAAGAGAGCAATGGTGCCTACGAGTAGTAGATTTACTGAGAATCGCGGACCAGGCCAAGTAGGCTACATGTGGTCAAACATCAGAAATGACTTAAACGGAGCGGCAGGATTCTGTGGAATCTATGAGTTTCAGGTTAGAGGAGGAACCCAGAGTGCAGTAGTTTACATTGGAAGCACTTGCCCGCGCCAAGCAGATGGCGGACAATGCCGTAGATTGAAAAACAGGATCATCAACTACTGCAGACACGGAAACCATAAAGCAGATCTAATAAACTACTCACTGAGCAGTGGATATGAGCTGTGGGTCCGTTATAAGCAAGCTGGGAGTGCAGACGAAGCTCAAGCCTGGGAAAACGCGCTGCTCGCCATGTATGATTACGCGTGGAATGTTAGAAATAACGGCAACGTAAGGGTCGTCCCATAGTGACGTACACTGCCTGATCGACACTGAAGCGGTAAACGGAGACGTCCAATTATTCCATGGACTGAATTCGCCATTGTACAGAAAAGTGTTTATTTTTGTGCCAAACCAGTAGTACATGAAAAATTTTATAGCTTAGCTTGCGTATAGACTGAGCACGATAACAGTCACTGTTTAATTTGAGTACATTTAACTGCGGCCACTAATCGTCATTAGCGCTGCACCCTCTAAAAAATCGTGTCTGATTACAGTCAATGAAAAAGAGATGACGACACAAGTTCCAATAGACCCAATACTTGCTAACATCCTTACTCTTAGTAAATACTTATATCATGTAGACGCAGAAGTGCAGAAGAGGACTATTAAAATGTTTAGATTTATACAGTAAAGTGATGGATTCCAACCTTTAATTTTTCAAACTACTTTTGCCCTTTTTTAATCGAAGAGAAAGTTTAATATCGTGTCTTAGGATCCTAGTCGTTTTTATTTTAAGTTGATGTCTTCAACTAAACTTTGAAGATATCGCATTTATGACAGTTTTTAGCTCAAATCTACCGTTGAATTGTGGCGGAATATTCTAAGAAATACCGGAAGAACGTCATTTGTCATTCCCAGAATTAAAATTCTCTTTGTCTCTCACCCCTCAATGACTCAGTGTTCAACATAGATTGCTATTGAGAAAACCCGTTTGTCCTCCTTGACTCGAGCAAAAGGGGATTATGAATGAGCTACTGAATGATTAGGAACAATAGGGATAATATGGTGGCTAAAGCCTATGCGAGAAATATCCCAACATTACGGAATTGTTGAGGCCAAGACACTAAGGATCAAAACTCACTAAACTGAGTAGTCAACAAATGGCATATCAATTGCTATAACTTGTAATATTACATTTTTACGTTTAAGAACTTCTTTTAGACCAGCTCTGGCTTTGATCAGGAAGACCTCAATTCATAGCTGTGTCAAATCTATAAAACAAGCCGGAAGAAAGTAATGACGGCGAAGCTAAGCGCCCTGCGAAACCTTATGCTGCAATTTATACGGTGGAAGGAGAAATTTCGAAGACGCGCGCGCGCACGAGAGAAGAAAAGGAAAGGCCTCCTCTCCCCTTCTCCTTTCCCTCTCGCGCGCTCTGTAAAAACGAACCAATATAATTAACCAACGCCTGCCTGCCGCCAAAAATCTCAGGTTCTTTCTAGAAAGATTTTTTTGCAATCTTTGATTGGCTTATGTGTAAACCCCCGGACTCATTGTCACATGACTTACTTAATAATGGCAAAAAGGCATTGAAGGGACGACAAGTTGACGTGGGTTAAGTTTCTGGCTTATCTTAGCACAGCGGTGATAAATACAACAGAGATCATATTTAACAAACTGACAGAAATTGGATAGATTATTCTACACTCAGAATGGCTCATGCTCAAAAAAAGTTTAGAGAAAACAGCAATCTTCATTCTCCACAAAGCGAAAATTGGTCGAAATGGAAGACAGCCATGGTTCCGCTGTACGATCGAACAAACACTGTAAACCGCGACTAGAACCAAGTAGGATTCATCTGGAAATATATACTGAACGACGGCAATTTACCGGAGCCCTGTGGAATTTATGAATGGCGAGCTATTCGACAGGACCAGCCAGAAAGAGTCGTTGGAAGCACGTGCACACGTTGTGGCCATTATGTACCACTGCAAAGCAGAATCCTTGTGTACTGCAGTCATGGTAGTCATAAAGAAACTCAGATAAATGACGCATTAACGAAAGGATATACACTGGAGGTTCGTTATAATTAGCAGGCTTGAAATGAACCACAAGCTAGAAAACTGGAGAATGACTTGCTTGACATGTATGATCACGCTTGGAATGAGAGGCGCAATGGCGGAAAACTTGGTATAAGACTATTGCCCAACTGATATGCCGTCATATAGTGTACGAAGATATAAGAGGCCAACTAAAGGCTGTCATAAAGTAACTCTAAAGGAACTTTCGTAGTTAAGATTGAAGTTTTCTTTAATACTTACAGTGATATAACTTTCCAGCACCTGTTTTTCTTTTCTTCTTTCCTTTTTTAGAGGGCAGTGGAAAGATAATACGATAAGAATTGATTCAGTGTTTATTTCAGTTTTATCTGTTTTATGTGTAATAACAGCGGAGTTTTAATCATTAAAAATATATGAGGCCCTACCAGGGTAAATTCCGACAAGCGACGTGGCCCAAAAAGTATCGACAGCGCGTAAAATGAAATCGCGACAAGAGACAACCTCCCTCGGCCAATCTGCGACAGTGACGGCAAAGCCGACAATAAGCGACAAGCATTTATAAACACCGACACGAGACGTTTTAAAATTCAGACGGGCGACATGAGACCCCCCTCCCCTGGCAGGGCCTCATATATTGTTAGAAAAGTATATTTGAACATTACTTAGAGTGAACTGATTTACCAAATTTTGCTCCACGTGGCAAGCCTTTTTGGACATCAAATAGACTATGTCACCCGTATAACAAAGAAGGCTAGGAAATTAACCAAAGTTGAGGTTAGCGAGGAAAACTGTATTTTGGTTTCTGAGGGTGACTTCAACTGTACGGGCGTGTAGTGAATAAAATATAAGCGTCAGCATAGGATTTCCGAAAATGAGAACATCCTTGGATAACATGACCCTGTATGCTGAATTTTGAAGCAAATTGGATCGCACAAAACATGCAAAATCGATTCACTTTGAAATTGTCTTCTTATAAATGGTTGTGCATATAACACGTGTTCTCTTTGATAACAAATTGAGGTGAGGTCAGTTTAAAATAATTTAATAAGGTCTAAAATACACAAGGCGTAACGTAACCTATCTTTTTCTCAGAGAAAAGCCAGAAGGAGCTCAGAACCCTTGGCTAACCAAATGGCTGATGCAGGATTTTATTGTAATTATTTTTCTTTTAGCCCCAAAGGAGGGTTTGTCTTAAAACCGTAACATCGGGCTAATTTGTTGAAATATATATTTTTATTTCTTTTATTTTACCGTCTCACCAACATAAAGAAAAAAAAAAAGAAAGATTTTGCCTTTTGTTATTACGACTTTCAATCCTCAGCTACTACGAATTTCAAAAAGATTCTTAGAAACACTGGCACATTATTACGGGCAATAACACAAAACTGAGAAAGGTTTGGACCCAGGAGTCATTTCATAAGTAGACTTTGTGTCCAGGTGAACGTAATCCTGAATAGCACTGTTGTTGTTGGCAATAATACACTCGCGCAAATATATCCTAACGCCCCCATTATTGCTCATCGGAAGGAAAAATCTCTAAAAGATTCCCTTGTTAGAGCCAAAATTCCTTCACTTTAACAACAACATTAAAGGAGTTAAACATGGTAAGGGGTGAGTGACGATATTATTACACACTAGTCTGCTGTCTGAATTTATTGTTAACAACTTGTGGTGATGTTGACTGAAAGGGCACTACGCTCTCTGTTCCAAAAAAGCGTTGAGTTGTATTTTTGCTGAACTTATTGCATGCTATGTTTTTAGGTAGAAGTTTGACTATTTCTTCTTCCCTAAACGTGAAAAAAATGTCAATCTCCAGCTCTACCAAAAACAACTTAAGGAAACCTCGTCCCCAAGGCTTCTTGGTTACCGTCCTTTTTTTTTGCGGTACCCTGTGCAAATGGCGTCATGTTACGACATATCGCTGAAACGTCACCCATATTTGGCCAACCTAGTTGGCTTAGTTATGAATTTGAAGCATTGGCCCGCGGAAATGAGCCAATCAGAAACGTCGTCAATGTTAAGAAAGGATTTATCTAAGGCTGACTACGCTACTGAGACAACTTTTCTTGCAAAGTGTGTGAGCAATTTTCTTCGAGATGTTGCCCACCCGGCCCCTATATCCTATAAGCCAGTGAACAAGGATGATTGCACAAAAGAAGCTTTAAAGCATGATACCTTCCGGGTTTTCTAAGAAAGCAAAAACGTCACGTGTTTCGCTTTATTTATGTCGCTTCAATTATGTCTGACTTTATATCAATGCGCAACATGTCACTAAGGCCACGAGGCTTCCATAATGGTTTGCACCGCGATGTCCCAGTCATATTCTTGTATTTTTAGGAAGTTCCGAAGAGCAGAAGAGCCTTACCTGAGCTAGGCATGGCTAAAGGGCTATTTCTCAGAAAAACCGCAAGTTCTTACAGTGTTACCGCGGTTTAATCCTGAGAAACCACAAACATTTTGATTGGCTGATTACGTGCAAACTAATTTTTCGCGTGGCATGCAAAGTTAATGTTCTGTTTCAACCATTAACATTGCAGTCGTAAGTCATTGGATCAGCCTAATATTCGCTGCTCCTGCTAAACACAGACCACTGTCCTTGCCGAAGTTCTTTGGCGACCATTATTTAACGCTTTATTCCAACGAAGCTAGTCTTTGCAGCCCGTTGCTCACGCAGACGGTATGTTTCTACCACCAAAGTCAGTTAGAGAAAATAATGAACTCGTAAGGTTTCAAGGCCAAGGTCCGTGGTTACAATGGAGGAGAGCAATGGTGCCTACAAGTCACGGTAGCTATACTAAGAATCGCGGACCAGGCCAACCAGGGTACATTTGGTCAAACATCAAGAATGAGTTAGACGAAGTGGCCGGATTCTGTGGAATCTATGAGCTTCAGGCTAGAGGAACTCTTCCCCATAACCTACAGAGTGCAGTAGTTTACGTTGGAAGCACTTGTCCGCGCCAAGCAGATGGCGGAGTATGCCACAGGTTGAAAAACAGGATCATCAACTACTGCAAATATGGAAACCATAAAGCAGGCCTAATAAAAGACGCATTAAGCAGAGGATATGAGCTGTGGGTCCGTTATAAGCAAGCTAGGAGTGCAGAGGAAGCTCAAGCCTGGGAAAATGCTCTGCTTAACAGATACGATTATGCTTGGAATGTAAGAAATAACGGCACCATAAGGGTTATCCTCCCATAGTGACATGGCCGCCTGATCGATGTGGTAAACGGAGACATCCAATATCCCGTGGACTGAATTCGCTATAGAGCAGAAAATTATTTATTTTTGTGCTAAAACAGTAGTACATGAAAAATGTTTTGGCTTAACTTACGTATATAGACTGAGCATGAGAACCGTCACCGTTTAATCTGAGTACATTTTAACTGACACAAAACGTCATTAGCGCTTCACTCTTTTAAAAATCGTGTCCGATTACACCCAGAAAGTTCCAATACTTGCTAATATGCTTTCACTTAGGAAATACCTGTGTCATGTAGAAGCAATATGCAGGAAAGGACCATTAAAATGTTTAGATATACTGACTCAGAAAAGTTATAGACTCTATTTTTTTGGCCAATTTTCAATCCGACGAAGAAGTATAATTTCATGCTTTAGTCTTTTTTATTTTAAGTTGCTCTCTTCAACGTATTTTTCGCAGATATCACATTTACGACATATTTAGCTCAAATCTACCGTTGAACTAAGTGCAGCGGAATATTCTACTGGAAATACCGGAAGAACGTCATTTGCTGTTCCCAGAATTGAAAATCTCTTTGTCACACACCCGTCAATCGGATGAAAGGATCAGCAACAGATTACTTTGGAGAAAACCTCTTCTGTCCTCCTTGACTAGAGCAAAACGGGATTTAGATAATATGATTAGAAACAAGAGGGATAATATGGTGGCCATGCGAGAAATGTTCATCATTACGACATTGAGGCCAAGACACTAACGATCAAAACTGAGAAGTAGCCATGCAGTAAATGGCATATCAGCAGTTGCTATACGTTGTAATATTACATTTTTGCGTTTAAGAACTTCTTGTAGACAAGCTCTGGCTTTCATCACTTATCTGTTATATATCTGGCTTTGTCACATATCTATTAAAAAAATGGCGATCGTTGCCTTAGCCTTGCGTTTTGGCTTTATGCATCGTATTCCTGGATCAGCTTTGAAGCATTTATACATTTATCTGTTTGCCTTATGGTTCTTGAGGCAAAGAATAATTAGCAATTATTGGATGAAGCTAAGCATGATCTGCAGAATTCTTCAGATCTCCACGAAAGTCGAATCCAATAACTGCTTTATTATTCATTCAAAAATGATTTATACTTTAAACATTGCTTACCTCGTATGAAGTTGCTATTTCTATATCTCTCTGTTCGAAGGCAAAATCAGGATATAAAGGGGAGTTTAGTGAAGCAGATATTTTTCAAATAGCATTTGTCATCCATTGAGTCGTATTTTTGCTGTTGTTGCAATGTTTTTGGGTAGAAGGATGGCTATTTCTTCTTCCAAAAAAGTGTAATAATGTCAACCTTCTCCAGCTCTACCAAAAACAACCTAGCTAAACCTCGTCCCCAAGGCTTCTCGGTTATCGTCCTTTTTTTGGCGGTACCCTGTTCAATTGACGTCATGTTACGAGATATTGGAAACTTCACCAATATATGCTCAACCTAGTTGGCTTGGTTATGAATTTGAAGCATTAGCCGGGGGAAATGAACCAATCAGAAACGTCGTCAATGTTAAGAAAGGTTGGATCTAAGGCTGACTGCGCTGTTGAGACAACTTTTCTTGTAAAGTGTGTGAAAAAGGTTCCACTAGACGTTGTGCACCCCCTATACTGTCCTATATGAGCTTCAACAAGGATGATTGCACAAAAAGGCGTTAACGCAAATATAATACCTTCCGGTATTTCTAAGAAAGCAAAAACGTTGCTTGTTTCGCTTTATTGACGACACTTCAATTGAACCTTACTTTATATCAGTGCGGCGTAACAAGTCACTAAGGCCACATGAGCTGTGGGTCCGTTATAAGCAAGCTGGGAGTCCAGAGGAAGCTCAAGCCTGGGAAAATGCCCTGCTCGCCATGTATGATTACGCTTGGAATGTTAGAAATAACGGCAACATAAGGGTCGTCCCATAGTGACACTGCCTGATCGACACTGAAGCGGTAAACGGTAACATCCAATTATCCCATGGACGGAATTCGCCATTGTACACAAAAGTGTTTATTTTTGTGCCAAACCAGTAGTACATGAACAATTTTTTAGCTTAACTTACGTTTAGACTGAGCACGATAACAGTCACCGTTTAATTTGAATGAGTACTTTTTAACTGCAGCCACTAATCGTCATTAGCCTCACAACCTTTTAACAATTGTGTCCGATTACAGTTAATCAAAAAGAGATAACGACACAAGTTCCAATATACCCAATACTTGCTAACATTCTTACACTTAGTAAATACTTATGTCATTATGATGTAGACGCAGAAATGAAGAAGAGGACTATTAAAATGTTGTATGTGACGTAGTAAAGTGATGGACTCCAGCTTTTTAAAACTACTTTTCCAGTTTTCAATCGACGAAAAAGTTTTTTGATATCGTGTCTTAGGATTCTAGTCGTTTTTATTTAAGTTAATCTCTTCAACTAAACTTTGCAGATATCGCATTTACGACAGTTTTTAGCTCAAATCTACCGTTGAATTGTGGCAGATGATTTTCTAAGAAATACCGGAAGAACGTCATTTGCCTTTCCAGAATTGAAATTCTCTTTGTCACTCACCCCTCAGTGATTCAGTGTTCAACAATAGATTACTTTGAAGAACACCCCTTTGTCCTCCTTGACTCGAGCAAAACGGGATTATGAATAAGCTACTAAATAATTATGTTTGGAATGAAAGGGAAAATATGGTGGCTATGAGAGAAATATTTCATCATTACGACGTTGAGGCCAAGACACTAATTAACACAAAGGATCTAAAAACTGAAGTAGCCAACAAATGGTATATTATAAATTTCTATAACGTGTTATATCATATTTTTACGTTTAACTTCTTTTAGAACAGCTCTGACTTCAAAGCTGTGTCAAATCTATTAAACAAGCCGGAAAAAAGGAAGGACGGCGAAGCTTAGCGCCCTGCGAAACCTCAGTTATAAGGTGGAAGGAGAAATTTCGAAGACGCGCGCGCGTGCGCACGAGAGGAGAAAATAAGAGGCCTCCTCTCCCCTTCACATGTACCCTAGAGGAAAGATCGAAGCGACTCTGCTAGCAGGGTACTTCACATGTCCCCCTCGCACGCTCTATAAAACGAACAAATTAAACTAACCAACGCCTGCCACGCAGGTTACGGCGGGGTACATATAACAGATTGCAATTGATTTGGTAACTTTAAGTTCAAAATAATGGGGCATGATGTATTAATAAAAAAGAAACGACTCTGTTTCGTTGTTTGGACGACAAGGCATTAAAAGGACCAATCTGAGAAAAAAAAAAGAGAGAAAAATCTCAGGTTCTTTCTAGAAAAATGATTCATTTAGGTGGGATTATTTCTTAGAAAAACCGCAAGAATCCATAATTGCTATGTAAATGCAGACAATGCAATCCTTGATTGGCTAATCTGTAAACCCTCTGACTCATTGTCACATGACTTACTTTATTGCATAAAGGTATTGAAGGGACGACAAGTTGTTATGAGTTCTGCCTTAGCTTGTCTCGGTGGGCGACAAATAAAGAAGCGATCATATTTAATAGAGTGACAGAGCTTCAAGAGATTCTACACTCAGAATGGCTCGAGCTCAAAAAAAGTTTAGAGAAAACAGCAATCTTCAGTCTCCACTAAGCCAAAATTGGTCGGCATGGAAGACAGCCATGGTTCCGCTGTACAATGGAGCAAACACTGTAAACCGCCACTAGAACCAAGTAGGATTCATCTGGAAATATATACTGAATGACCATAACTTAATTGAACTCTGTGGAATATATGAATGGCGAGCTGTTCGACCGGACCAGCCAAATCGAGTCATCTATGTTGGAAGCACGTGCACACGTTGTGGCAATTTTGAACAACTGTGGAGCAGAATCCTTGGGTACTGCAGTCATGGTAATCATAAGGCAGCTCTGATCAATGACGCATTAAGAAAAGGATATACACTAGAGGTCCGTTATAAGCAGACTTGGGATGAACCGCAAGCTAGAAACCTGGAGAATGAGCTGCTTGACATGTATGATTACGCTTGGAATGTTAGAAGAAACGGCAACATAAGGGCCGTCCTATGGTGACACTGCCTGATCGACACTAAAGCGGTAAACGGAGACATCCAATTATCCCATGGACTGAATTCGCCATTGAACAGAAAAGTGTTTATTTTTGTGCCAAACCAGTAGTACATTAAAAAGTTTATAGCTTAACTTACGTATAGACTGAGCACGATAACAGTCACCGTTTAATCTGAGTACTTTTAACTGCAGCCACTAATTGTCATTGGATATACAACCCTTTAAAAATCGTGTCCGATTACAGTCAATCAAAAATAGATGACGACACAAGTTCCAGTAGACACAATACTTGCTAACATCCTTACACTTAGGAAATACTTGTCATGTAGACGCAGAAATGCAGAAGAGGACTATTAAAATGTTTAGATATATACAGTAAAGTGATGGACTCCAACTTTTTAAAACTACTTTTGCCAGTTTCCAATCGACGAGAAAGTTTGATATCGTGTCTTAGGATTCTAGTCGTTTTTGTTTTAAGTTAATCTCTTCAACTAAACTTTGCAGATATCGCGTTTACGACAGTTTTTAGCTCAAATCTACCGTTGAATTGCAGTGGAATATTCTAAGAAATACCGGAAGAACGTCATTTGTCGTTCGCAGAGTTGAAATTGTCACTCACCCCTCAATGATTCAGCTTTCAACAATTGCTTTGGAGAAAAACCCCTTTGTCCTCCTTGACTCGAGCAAAACGGGATTATGAATGAGCTACTGAATGATTAGGAGCATGGCTAAAGCCTATGCGAGAAATATCTCAGCATTACGGAATTGTTGAGGCCAAGACACTAAGGATCAAAACTCACTAAACTGAGTAGTCAACAAATGGCATGTCAATTGCTATAACTTGTAATATTACATTTTTACGTTTAAGAACTTCTTTTAGACCAGCTCTGGCTTTGATCAGGAAGACCTCAATTCAAA